ACAGATGAGTAAAAATACTGTTGGGCTGTAGTGCAGAGGTAGTGCTGCATACACGTACAGTGTGTATAGTGATAGTGTAAAAGACACTGTCCAATAGTTCAGCAGTTAAAAGGAACACTAAAGACTTACTGAGACATCAAACATTTTCAACACCAGAGAAATAACAAGGTTTACAAAGACGTCTCTATACTCATAACCCGTCTACTAAAACATCACGAGCACAAAGAAGAAACGGCCAAAAGAAAAAGAAATAAAATCAGTGAAAACACTGATATAAAAAAACACAAGCTAAGAAAAAAACATTCTGAATCAAGAAAAAGATGTTTGTTTGTATCCACACAAAAGTATAACAACAACAACAACAATAATAATAATAATAATAATAATAAATCCTTTTTCCCATCCTGACGGGTGGTTCTGAACGCCTCCTGTGTGTGATTGGCTGCTGAGGCTCGTGTCACCGCGGTGGGCGGGCCCTGCTGTAGCTGAAGATGGCTGCTCCGTGCTGGGATCAGCAGGTCTGAAGCTAACCGTCTCTGCGGCTCTTTGGTCGGTTTGAGCGGCTGTCTGCGCTCCGTATCCCGGCCGGAGGCTCCTCCGCGGGGTCGGGTCCCGGGACGCCGGTACGTGGCCACTACACTGCTTGTTAGCATGTTAGATTAGCATCAGCTGCTAACGGGGGGCTAGCAGTGACGTGACAGCAGCTGTTACACAACAGGCGTGAGGTCAAAGGTTGCGCAGTGCTAGCCCAGCACACATTGATGACTGTGTGGGGACGGAAAAATAAGTAGCAGATAATCATCGATTATTGATTTTGTTCCTCTGTCACAGAGAACTGAACACGATGACGTCAACGTGACCTCACGTGACGTTCAGCTGTCTGGCCTGTGTTATGATGCGTTCACTGTCTGGCCGTATTGCAGGTGTCCGCGATGTCCAGGGAGCAGGCGAGCATCAGCGAGCTCCTGCTCTCACTGGACAGTTCAGAGCTGCAGGAGGCGGAGCGAGCGAGAGCCGCAGTCAACCAGCAGCTGAGTACAGGTGAGTTCGACAGCACGAATGAGTGACGCAGGTCTCTGTGACGCGCTCACCACGTGAACCAATCACGAAGCTGCAGTTTTGCTGACGTCCAACAAAGCAACCTTATCAACTCAGTCTGACATCACTTGTGACGGCCAATCAGTGCAGAGCTCCCAGCATGCATGTTTCTCCTCTCAGACAAAGGGGGCGCTGTCCTCTCCTCCGTGGTGGAGTACTACCTGGACTCGTCATCGTCTCAGGCCCTGCTCCTCCTCTCCTCCATCAGGGAGCCGCATCACAAAGTGAGCCTCGCCTGCTCGCAGACCTCCTGTTCTTTACACTCTCTGTGACTCTAACACCTGTTGGCCCCGCCCACTAGGTGCTGCTGGAGAAGCTCAACGAGTCTGTGAGTCGATCCGGGACCAGGCTGGGCGCCCTCACCCTGCTGGGTCACCTGATCAGGAAACAGCCGCCATGGGTTCATCACATCAGCCGCTCGCCGCTGCTGCTCTCACTGCTGCGCTGCCTCAAGGTAACACACACCTGAGACACACCTGAGACACACCTGTCCTCCTGCATTCAGATTCTGTCATGGTGTCGATCATGTGACCTCCTCACAGGTCGGATTCCTGCTGCTGTGAACTCAGAATTCCACTTCCTGTTTTTCAGACGGACAGCGATGTGGTCGTCCTCATCACGGGAGTCCTGGTCCTGGTCACTCTGTTACCCATGATTCCTCAGGCCGGCAAGCAGCACATCAATGACTTCTTCGACGTGTTTGGGCGCCTTGCATCCCGCAGCTGCAAAAACCCAGGTAACTCCCACAGCAGGGGGCGCTGCAGCTCCTTGTGCTTTCTGATTGGTCAGTCTGCTTCTCTGAGTGGTTGATAAGATGTTTTCTGATTGGCTCGTGCAGGTCATGAGCCTGTGGCCCACCTGGTGCACCTCCATGCAGGTACGTACTCTCTGTTCCACCGCCTGTATGGGATGTTCCCCTGTAGCTTCATCTCCTACCTGCGGCTGCACTACAGCATGAAGGAGAACCTGGACACCTTCCAGGAGGTGGTGAAGGTGAGTGCACACCTGAGGGGGCGGTACTGATGTGATGACCGCAGGTGTCCTTCAGTTTCACCTCACACTCTGTCCTGTCCCGTCAGCCGATGTTGGAGCACGTCCGGGTTCACCCAGAGCTCGTTACAGGCACTCAGGACTACGAACTGGACCCGTCCAGGTGAGTCCAGCGTGGAGACAGAAACCACACCTGAGCGTGCAGGTCAGCAGGTCGTCTGACAGAGTGAAACCAGCGCTGAGCTCAATCAACAATAAAGACAGAAAATAACATCTGATTGAGTTAGAGTAGAGTAGAGCTGAGTTCACGTCGCAGACGCGTGTTTACCGGAGCTCAACATTAACTTTCCTTTATCTGACGACGAAGCTCGCCACTCGATTCCAGCTAATGACAGGAAGTGATGCGCTCTGATCTGTCAGCACGGGCACACACACGACGTGGCCTCAGAGCAACACATCTCTGAGTTTGTAACCTGCTTTAAAAAACAGGGACGTCTGCAGCAGCTGTTAGTCTGAGGCAGGTCGGCCCGATCAGTGATTTAGGAGATGATAGAAACACCGACTGGATACGGATGGAATGAAACCTTGTGCACTTCTTTATCTATCTGAGGATTAAGGATCGAAACTCTGATCCTGCAGTTGTTCAGGAAGTGAGGTCGCTCAGACGCAGCAGCTACGCGTGTGACACGACGGCTAGTGTACCTGCCGTGATAACTCCACCCTCTCACACTGATCAGAGAGGCAGTGTAGCCGAGTGACCCACGAACTGCACGTGTTTCTTTGGGTTTCGTGACTCTGACGTCTCCAAACATTTAAAATGAAACTTTGACTGTTTTCTGTTTGAAACATGTTTTCTCTCCCGCTGCTGTCTGCAGGATGTCATATACACTTCCTGCCAGAAGGTGGCAGTAAAAGCGACCACCGCTAACTAACAAAATACAACATAGCGATTACTTCAGAGGAAAAACTTGTTTCTGTGGAAACAGGAAAGCAAAGACGACTGCGACCAATGAAACGGTCTATAGATAATAAACAAAAGCGAGGTAATGCGAGCATGTCGTCACTACCACGAACGTCAGGATCCACACTGACGTCCTCTGAGACGTGACCTGAAGCACAGCAGGAGTAAAACATGACCTCTGCTGTCCAATCAGAGTAAAGTATGAACTGCAGCGTTTGAACATTGAGTTTCAAACTG